CCCTCTCTCCCACTTTCCCTCCCTTCTTCCTGTTCCTTCCTAGCTCCCCTGAATCTCTACCCCAATCCTCTTGGCTTCTGATCTAGCTGTCGCCACTCCATGGAAGGGCCTGACCTCATTCATTAAAATAAAACACATCTCCCTTTAAGCCTGTAGTTCAAACTTGAATGTGCACCAGAGTCTCTTTGGGGAGCTTGTTAAACATAAAGATCCCAGCTCCTTTCCACTGCGCCCTAAAGTTGTGAATTCTCAGTTTGAGCATCTCTATGTTTAACAAGCATCCCTGGTGATACTTATGCTTCTGGCCTTCCTCCCACACTTGGAGAACGCTGGTTTGGGGTTTGAACAGAAAAGAGCCTAGGGAGAGAAATACATGAGATAAAGGCTGAGTGGCCAAGTCTCAGCTCCTTCAGTATGCCACTTTGCTGCCTTCCCAGGAGCTGTGGCTCCACATTCCCTAACTCCATCCCTTCTATCTCTCTGACCTGAGTGAAGATGAGAGCCCTTTTCCTCACATTCCCTTGAGCTAAGCAGAGATAAGCCGGCATTTTCAAAGGACATTTTACTAAACAGTGTGGGGAAACTAATGGGAATTGGAGTAAAGAATGTTTTTAAAAGGATCTCTCTCTCTCTCTCTGTCTCTCTCTCTCACACACACACACACGCACACACACACACATACACACTATAGAATTCTTCTTGACCCAGGGAAAACTATTTTGAATATTTTTATCCCCTTCATTCCAGATGAGGGGGTCAGGTCCTACTTTCTGTCCCCTAGCCTTGTTGAGTGCGGCCAGGGCCTAGTCTGTAGTCAACAGTACAGCTCTAATATTTTTCAAAGTTTTTGTTTCTTTAGAGGAGTGCTGCTCAATAGAATTTCCTGTAGTGATGAAAATGTTTTATATCTTCACTCTTTAATACAGTAGCCACTGGCCAGCCATCCGTGGCTGTTGAACACTTGAGATGTGGCTAGTATGACTGAGAAATGGAATTTTAAATTTTATTTAATTTTAATTTAAATAGGCACATGTGACTTATGGCAACCATATTGGACAGTGCAGCTCTGGAAAGATCAAGGTCCCAAGAACTGTGGACCTTAACTTTCTTCACTTCAATTTATTTTCTCCTTCCAGGAAGATTAAAGGTTATTTTCCCTCTCCATGAGGCAGTAAAGTAGAGTGGAAAGAACAAGAAATCTGGAGACATGGGGTACTGGCTTTCACATCTTAACTTAGTCACTAATTAACTTTGTGGCCTTGAAGGTGCCTCCTAATTCTTCTGACCTTCGATTTTCTGATTTGTGCAGGGGTTTCATTCTAACAACCTCAAGTTTATTGATGAAATTAAGTAAACATAATATTGTAAGCATTTGGGAAAAGGTAGTTTTCCTTTCTTTCCCCTCCCTTTTTATCTATTCACCCATCCTTCTATACCTCTCTTTTATCTTTATCTCTTCCTCCTATATTCACACAAATGGCTGATATATTTTTTTTGTAAATTACCCTCTGGAATGTGCTATGTATCTTTGGGTATTAAACCACTGACATGTCATTTGTTCAGCAAACATTTAGTAGAGTGCTGCTCTGCGCTAAGCCATAGACATAGCTCCTACCCTCAAAGTGTTCTGTCTTAGACCAGCAGTGTCTAAATCACTTGGGAGTTTGTTAGAAATGCAGTCTTTAGCTCTACTCCAGACCTACTGAGTTTGAATCTGTATTTTTAACACAGTTCCTATTTGACTTACAATACATATTAAAGTTTGAGGAGAACTGCTGTAAAATGATAGGTGTCTTATAATATAGAATTTGTAATATAGGTAAGTACAGTCTGTTGTATACCCAGAAGCTGAGGGATGCTGTCAAGACCCTAAGTCAGGTCATGTATCACTCCTCTGCTCAAAACTCTCCAATGGCTCACTATTTCTCCCTGAGTAAAAGCCAAAGTTCTCTTATTACTTATACATCTTTGTGTGATCCACTCCTCCTTACTTCTCTGACTTCATCTCTTGCTCCTTTCCTACATGTTAATTTTTTTCTAGCCTCACTGGCCTCTTGCTGTTTCTTAAAAATGCCTGGCATGCTACCCCCCCACACACATACACACACACACACCTTTTACATTGGCTTTTCCCTCTACCTAGAGCACTCTTCCCCGAGATGTTTCCTTAGCTTTGTCCCTCATCTTTAAATCTTTACTCCTTGAGACCTTTACTGACCATTCTACTTAAAATTGTAACTTTGTACTATGTCTCCCCCTTTCCTACTTTATGTTTCTTCATTGTACTTATTGCTATCTGGCATATTATATATTTTGCATGTACATGTTTGTATACTTACTTATTGTCCATCTCCCCTACCAAGATGTAAATTCCATAAGGAGTGGGGATTTTTACCTGTTGATTTACTAATGTATCCTCAATACCTAGCATGGTGCCTGTCACACAGTAGATGCTCAATAAATATTGTTGAAAGTCAGAATTAGATATAAGTGCTTTAGCAGAGTACATTCACATCATATTCCTTTTGATTTTCAGACAGGACAAAGGTTGTTACTGTTACTCCCATTTTCTAGATCCGAGAGACAAAATTACTTTCCCAGAGTTCTCAGGCATGGGCCCACTTGGAGTCCTATAGTCTTAGAAGGATCTTCTGTTTCCAAACTCCAAAACATCTTGCCCTCTTCCTACAGAGCACAGGGTAAAGATAGCAATACAAGTATTTGTCTTTCCAGAAGGGGGAGTGTTATTTTCCTTCTTTGAGGACTTGCTCAATCCAGCCAACCCATGCAAAGCTTTTGTTGGCAATCTGCTGGTTTTGTATTTCTTAATTATTCTTGGTGCTAAAGTTAAGGGTTTAAATGAGAAATCTTTCTTTGTTCCCACCCTACAACCACAGATGTCAAAGGAAGGTTTAGCTAGAGCAAAATAAAAGTGGGGGAAACTGTGTCTATCTGGACCAGAAGACAGCATTTTAGCCCAGGGATGTGTCACCTCTAAACCAAAAGCTGTGAGGAGGAATATGGTTTGTCAGAAAGAGCATCAGACTCATAATTGAGAATCTCAGGTTCAGGTCCCACCTTAGTCAATGACTGGCTGAGGAAACTCAGGTGAATCTTTTCCATCCTGAGCTTTGTTCCCTAGCTCTAAAATGAGTGGATTGTAAGAGTTGTGCTTTAAGTGCTGTCTGGATCTTAATTTCTCTGATTCTGTCACTAGAGAAAGCTGTGGTAGTGATCCAGGTTACTTCTTCATTTCCTGATGTTTCCTCCTTGGAAGCATGTCTTACTCAGGCGTGAATGTTAAAGTGGCATAATATACTCTTTCTGTAGTTCAGGGGAGAGCTCTAAACACTTTCCACTCTTGTGCTGTTGAGGGGAAATGGGGGACACTACATTCAGTATAATAAAAGCCACTATTTATTAGAGCATACACACACATATTCTCTCTTCCTCTCTGCCTCTTCTCCCTCTCCCCCTCCCATCTCTCCTGCTCTCTTGGGAGAAGGAAGTACTTTACAAACATTTAAGTTACAATACCCTCATTTTACAAATGAGGAAGTAGGAAATAAAGTCAAAACCATTCAGTGAGGCCAGTAAGAGAAAAAATCTTTTTAAATGAGTTCTCTGCAAAAGATGCCATTCTTCTTTCTAAATCCAGACAGTGGGATAAAAGAGTGTTGGCTTAGTTCTAAGTCACCTTGACCAATGATTGGTGATATTATATCTTGTAACCTTATAACTCATAATCAGGGAAACTGAGGCATAGGGCAAGGGAGGCTAAAGATGTCTTATAAAGTTGCTTCATCTTCCACTCTTGAGGAAGATAATATCAGTCATCCCATACCTGTGAAATAAATTCTGTGCTCAAATTCCTCCAGAGAAGCTGGAATAGCTTTCCTTGGTCATTTGTATTACTTTCTCATTCCCTTCACCATCAAGATATTCTTCTTTAGGCCTGAGTTTAGCTTCATGCTGTAGTTTCAAGTCGTTTTCATTTGATACGTTTATATCCTATATCAAGGCACTAATTCTAGCTCAATGCACTAGTTCTAGACTTCTAGATCAACCTTTCTGGGATTAAGAACAGAGTGAAATAAATACACAAATTTTCTTGACCATTACCATGGAAATGCTAGGGCTAATTCATGCCAATTGTGACTGATGTGATAATTCCCACAGTACTGTTAGCTACTGTGTGGCCTGCCTTCCCACCCATGCCTACTTACTCCTAGGAGGCAGAGGTGAGACTCTCAGAAACTGCTTCTGTTGAATCACTTCACTCCTACTGTCATATCACCCTATTCTCTCTTAATATTCAGATGGGGTTAGAGGGTATTCAATGCATGCTTGACAGTAAGAGCCACAGACCCCTTCTACTCTCTCTGCCCTGTGACAAGCCTTTAGAGACTCCCTAAGTCTTTTCTTCTCCATGACAAGCAGCACTGGTTCCTTAAACCATTCTTTACGGTGTTGCTTTTCAGGACCTCTCGACCCCACTCTGGCTCTATGTTCTTTTCTCCAAGTTCCTCTGAAAACAGGGCTCAAATTTGAATGCTGCTCTCCTGTGGTGATAGGACTACCTTCCTATTACATCTCTCATTCTACCTTCTCAACCTGTTTCTTCTTTTTTTCTTCTATTTTAACCAGAGGTTTTATTTATTTATTTTTTCCCTGAACCTCATTATCTATATCTTCATTTTTTTTGGCAGTCACATTCCACAGCCTGCTCATCTTAAATTTACATATCCTCAAAAATGAGTGAATGAGATTGACCCCTAAGCCAAACCTTTGTTCTTCATTGTTGTGGAAAATTTGATAAAGTTACCAGTCAGCCAAAGAAAGAGGATGAAAAGTGAAGGCAAGACTCCAGCATACTAGTTATCTCTCCTGGCCTTTCTCCCCTAGGAAGCCCAGGAAGTTGCGTGTTATAAGGGCTAAAGGTAACATTTTGGGGTTCTCAGACTACTATCATATTCTTGTATCCCATTTCTTATTTCCTTGATAAGGGCAGTTTCAATTATTTGTACTCCCTTTCTGTAAGTCATATATCTTAAACACTAGGGTTAGAGATTTTGAGAGAACATTGGATTCTCCCCCTTTCCTTGATAACATTGTATTCGAGGCAGCCTTCCTAAGGCTGTATTTTCTTTATACTCTCTGTC